CCGCCGTGTTTCTTGATTTGCGTCACAGCTGGACAAGAACCCGCGCGATTAGGTCCTTTGGAGGTGACATTCGAAATCGGCGAAGTGAAAACTTTTGTCGCCATGTACATGCATTCTCGTCGCGCTTGCCACAGACCCATGTCTCCGTTTTGCTCTTGCATGAAGGTGGAGCATTCCGTTATCGCGTATGGACGCGGCTGGCAGCGCTTTGCACGCTTCAGCGAGCCGTGCGGTCGCGGCGGCCTGTACTGTTGGCTCGGAGCCCGGCGGAGTCACGGCCGGCAGGGTGGTGCGCCAGCTGGTGGGGACGCAGGCTGATCGTGACGTGGCTATGACGTCATGACCACACTGACGTCGCTGCCCCGAGCCATCTGGTGGGGCAGGAGCCGCCGGGTCTCCCTGTGACGTCGCTCAGCAGTCGGGGTCTGGCTGTTGAGCGCCCACCCACGTCCATCAGGCACGGAGCGGGTGCCGGCTCGGGCAGAGTGTTCCTCTCATTCTCACCCCTCACTCCCACCTGTGTGCTGAGATAACCGGACTGAGAGAGTGGGGGGGGGGGGGGGGGGTTCGGAGGCACCATTTCACTGGGCCCAGTGAAGAGGAAGGACTGTAGGTGTGTCGGGGTAACGAGTTATTTGACGGCATCTGCGCAGACGCCAGATATGGTGGTCGTCTCCTAACTGTTCGAGAGTAACAATGTCGAAAACGACCACATTTTGCACTCGGGGTGTTGAAGGGAGCAAAACGCTGCCAAATGATCATCCTGTGTCTGTTAGACCTCAGGCAGGTTTTTGTGGCGTCCCGCGGTGTGAGCGTTGCTGGTGGATCTTGCCGCTGCGAAATTTAGCGATGAGTGATTATTTAGTACAGTGGTGTGAAAGTCACCAACTGCATCAACTCCACTGTTATGTCACGGCAATGTTTGTCTCTAGGGTTCAGAAACCTGTTCTTGACGTGGAAATTCTCGGTCCATCAGTGCTAAGTCCTTGCGGACATGATAGTAATTAGCCAAATTGACGCCATCAATTATTCGGAACGTTGATGAAATCCCGCTTGATGCGATTTCATGTGGCTGAAATGCCGCGATATATGGGGCGTGATGTAAGCGATTGAATTGGTCTATGGCGCTTTTCGCGTCCCTTTGGGAACTGATGATGATTTACATGATGTGTTGAGGACAGCATTCGTGGTCCCCTCAGGTAAAAATAGATAGTTGGGTCTGTATAATCGATACAGTTTGTTATGTCTTGTCCTGCGGGAGTGATTAGGGTCCAAGTTTTGATATATGTATTTTGGTCATCACCGCATCTTTGTTGCAAATGTTTTGGATGAGTTTGCTCGTCGCCAACAGGCCGGTACTTATCATGTTGCCAATGTTACGTCCTGAACACTCGGATTTGGGTAATTTAGCTATCTGAAATGTCATGTGCTGTTGAGTTGTGCGTCCTGCGCTCCTTGCTTCCGTCCCCTCTATCCCTTTAGTGCACCAGACACCAGAAAGCAACGCCCACGTGTGCGGCAGTTGACATTGAAGCTGAGCCGCGCCGGCTCGTGGCGGCCGCCATCTGCAGACGTCAGCCGCCGCCGTGTGCCTGTCGGGACGCGGGCCGACGTGGGGCGACCCCGGAGAGGCCGCCACCCGAATTTCCACGTCATGTCCACCTGCCAGGCCCGGCAGAACGCGGTCTGTCCACCTGCCAGACCCAGCAGAACGCTATCTGTGACCGCCTGCCGGCCCGGCAGAACGCGGTCTGTGTCCGCCCGCCAGGCCCGGCAGAACGCGGTCTGTGACCGTCTGCTAGCCCCGACAGAACGCGGTCTGTGTCCGCCTGCCAACCTCGGTAGAACGCGACCTGCCGGACAAATGCCAGCGTGATCTGGAGTGCCCCTGATCTGACGGCCTCGTTGCGCCTTCAGACCTCACAAACTCCCTTCTGTCACGAAAAAGGCGAAAGCGAAACGGCAGGAGACATGACGGGCCTGATAAACAGGCATCGGAATGGCGTCACTGAAAGTCGGCACAGATCATATCTGACGGAGCAGCTAAGGTCGAAATAAGTGCATTTAAGGTATTCGGGTCGCTTGTCTACAATGCCTTGCGTGTCGTGAAGTGTGAAACAGAAGACTGTACGGCACTTGACGTGCGGTGCCATGCACCTGTTATTTTCCGTCGGTGAATGTCCAAAGGCATGGCGGTTCAGGTCATGACGTTCAGTCTGGAGTGAATGCGCCCTTGACCCCGTGACTAAGGATGCTACTGGAGCGACATAAATGACGTTGGGTGGTTTCTCTGCGCCACATGTTTGATGTTTGGTCGCGTGTTGTTTTCAGATGAACTGGCTGTTATCATGCAGCGTGATATACGTGTCGACTTGATTTGTGATGCTTCAGTTCGGGTCACTAAGTGCAAACGGCATTCTCCGGCAATGTCTGTATGGTAAACCCGCCGTCGCCTGACTCGAGGTAACCCGACCCGTTGCCGGGTACGGTATCTGACGAACAACAAGAATGGACGCAATGCGGCTTATGTAACTTGGACAACGAGGGCGTAACTCGTAGGCCACGAGAGCTAGTAAAGTACATTGTACAAAGGTACAGATAAGGCTCTGAACTTAGTACTGACAATGTCAGAATGCAGGTGGAAATGGTTTAGAGATAGTCAAAGGAAAGCCTCGGGCCCACCGGCTCGGTCTCGGGGCTGCCTCGTCCGGCGAGGGTTGGTGCTCTAACGCTGTGTTTGTGACGTGGTCACCCAAGACGGGCCATACCCCCGTGTTGTCACTTCCGTCGGGCCGTGCCCCCGTCTTGTCACATCAAACGGGCCATGCCCCCGTCTCGTCACATCAGTCGGGCCATGTCCCCGGCTCGTCACGTCAGTCGAGCCATGCCCCCGTCTTGTCACATCAGACGGGCCTTGCTCCCGGCTCGTCACGTCAGACGGGCCATGTCCCCGGCTCGTCACATCAGTGGGGCCATGCCCCCGGCTCGTCACGTCAATCGGGCCATGCCCCCGGCTCGTCACATCAGTGGGGTCATGTCCCCGGCTCGTCACGTCAGTCGGGCCATGCCCCCGTCTTGTCACATCAGACGGGCCATGCCCCCGTCCTGTCACATCAGACGGGCCATGCCCCCGGCTCGTCACATCAGACGGGCCATGCTCCCGGCTCGTCTCATCATTCGGGTTCCACCAGCGGCTCCAGGCACCTGCCGCGGCTGTGGGGCCTGCCTAGCACGTCACCGTCTCGTGGCGGTGTGGTCCCGCCAGATCGCCTGTCACAGCGGCCGGCGCTCGCGACTTTTGGCGCGCCCAGCGCTGCGGCGCCGTGCGTCACTGGCATCTTGACGTCACGCAGCTGAGCCGGGCCGCTACGCCTGGCAGACGGCTGGCTACAGCGCCGCCACGGTTAGGGGGGAGGGCAGCTGGGACAGCACGGCTTCGGTTGGGGACGGCAACTGAGACTGCGCGACTCTGGTAGGGGGGGGGGGCAGCTGGGGCAGCGCGGTTCCGGTAGGGGGGCAGCTGGAGCGGCGCGACTCCGCTTGGGGAACGGCAACTGCGCCAGCGCAGCTCAGGTAGACAGACAGGCGGTAGCACAAGGGTGGGTGGACGGCCGGTAGGTGCGCAGGGGCCCGTCCTGCCCAGGCTGGACGGCAGCTGGCTCCACCAGTAGAGTACAAGTGTATGAACATTAGATGAAAGAGCTCTCGATTTTGATCGCCTTTGCGTGAAGTTTGTGATTCCAAAAGTAACTCCCCTTTTAGAACTGTCCTAAGTGCCTGTGAACAATTAACTGAGTCATGACTGTTTTGGCATCTCATATTTTGCCAGCGGTCCGTGCTTCCCACTACAATATTTCCGCCGAATTTTGTCCGCAGCATGAACCGCTCCATGGAGCGCGGTACCCCGCCATGGGGCGTGGACCGGGGAGGACGCCTTATGTAACGGGGCAGGCGAACCGTAACTGATGTGCGGCTTGTCAGTCGCCCGATTTTTCGGGGAATGAGCCCGGTCCAAAACCGGTGTCGGTCCGGGTGTCACGCGTTGTGCGCGCCGCGCGTGCGCTCGCGGCTCGCGTGCACCAGTTTTAGTCCGTTCCGGTGGCGTGCGGCGTCGCTCCAGCTCTTCGGCAGCGGTGCTCCCCATTCAAACCCGTTCAGCGGACAAGATGCTCCGGGCGCACTGGTGAGCCGCCCCGGCTGGGGACGGGGACCGGGGGCCGGGACCATAAACCAGGGATAAACGACACGACACGACACGACACGACACGGCACGGCACGGCACGGCACGGCACGGCACGGCACGGCACGGCACGGCACGGCACGGCACGGGCTGGGTCGGGTGGCAGCTCCAGCCCAGTAACCTGTCTGTTGACCAGCGCCGGCGTCGCTCCCCCACCCAGCGCCGCAGATGCGGACCGGACTGGCGCCGGCGTCGGCGAGCGAAACACCAGGTCGGCTCAGGGTGGCTAGTCAGTGCCAAGTCGTGGTCTCATAGACTGCCGGTATGCGGGTGCTGCCAGCGTGGCCGGATAGAGGTTGATTGGGTCGTTAATTGCTTATCTAAGTGGCTGCGTCGGGCCAGTTACCTTTGTCGCATGCAATGACCACTGTCACGCAAAGGCACGCAAAGTCCAGGCTTCCCTCTGAGGAAAAATCGCATCGCTGGATATTTGTTTTTGATATTGTCAGATAATGTCCTTCAAGTATTGAGTGGTTTGGTAAACCTTGAGGCCGTGTGTGCACACGGGGCTAAGCCACTTTAAAGAGATATGAGGCATTTCCACGGACACTTCCCCGTATTTCCGGGGTCGAGACTGGCGCTGGCGAACTACTATCAGCCCTGTTTTCTGTTGCCGTCACCATGGAATGGGAGCCGCCTGAGTTTAATTAGACCGCGGGGGGTCGTTAGCGCCGGAATGAAACGGTGGCCCAATTTCCCAGCTGTTTTACCACATGCAGTTTCCTAAAAGCGGGACTGGAAATTAGCACTTCATTTTAATTTCCAAGCTGGCGCGACGCGCGATCAAAACATGCCATGGATTCCGTTGCGGAATGTTTCATGCATGTCGGCTCTGCGGAACGATGTGATTGTACTCCTCGCCACATAACGCGCATGGACGACCTGAACGGGGCAGCCTCGATCTGGGAGTCTTACGGCTTGGCGGGGTCTGGTCTTTGTGCTGTCGGGCCGGAGCGTATGGTCAGACCAGGTCTGGTCTGGTCTGGTCTGGTCTGTCATATGCATGATCAGATGCTGCTGCGGCCTGAGGACGCGCCCTTGATCGTCGATCCGTCTGACCGCCGCTCCGTCTGACCGCCGCCCCGTCTGCCGCAGGGGACACCGGCAAGCCATGTGGCGTCGACTACGAGCTGAAGACGTTCGTGGGCGACCACTCCGATGACAAGGCGCACAAGAGGTGAGCACGCCCCCGCACCCTTGGACGCCCCGGGACGCGTCTGCGATCGGCCCCCGTGCGCCTCTGGACACGTTCCCCCTCCACACCGCTCGCGCTCTCTGTGGAGCCAAGCACTTCTCCGGGCGCTCCTGCTGCCCATGCATGAACCGGGCGCCTCCCTGAGCGTCCCCCCCCCCCCCCATCCACCGACGTGGTGCATTCCGGTGTTTTCGCGCTGTGGCAGACCACCTCGGATGTTGAGTGTGGTCTCCACGGCGCTGGGAGCGGTTGATCAGCTGACGAGTGAAGTTCTGGTGTGGGGTTCATTGGCTGATTTCAAGTAGTTTCGTAGATACGTGCAGCCTTTCCAGTCCGATTTGTTAGGTACTTCGGTTCCAAGCGAACCCCTTCGTTTTCCGTTTGTAGTTCTTGTGATGAGGGCCATCCCGTCGCGTCCACCTCATGGAATAGGCAAGGGCATTCCATGTCTGCCTTACGCACAACTTCTGGTGACGGGGGCGGTATGCACATCTTATCGTGAAAATCAGTCAACAAGGGAGGCAGATTCGTTGGCACCGTTTCGTATGGGACATGGTGCTGTATGCGGAATGTGCACCAGGCGTGGCACACTTCCTCCGCCTGCACTGTTCTCCAGCTGATCTTAAACCCCGGAACGGATGTGGCATCGCAGTCGCACTGCCGCCCGCTATTCCCAAGTGGTGAGTAAGAAGAGAGAAGCCTTCTGATATTGCCACTTTCGGTCTGCTTCCATGATGCGATGAACCAAATTGGCCAAGTATTTTCATCGCGTAGCATTCCGTGATAAAACAACGTGCGGCACCACCCTCCCAACTCACGGGGTATTTGGTCCAGCTCTCCGTCATGCCAGCAGTCGCAACCCCCTTCCTTCTCTCCCCCCCCCCTCCCCTCACCCATAAGCCGAGCCCAGCCCCGACTTCTCGCTGCCGCCTGTAGCTTGCTGCGCGAACCACCGGGTACGTCCGTGCCGTCCAGACGACCTCTCGTCGGATCAACGCCAGCCCCGGACGGAGCCGGAGACCGAGTCCTGGCTCTGATGGGCTCTCTCGTGTCGCACGGGGAGCAGATCGGGCTCATCAGCCGGTGTGTGGGCGGTGCTTGCACCGCGGGATTGTCGTGGGGAGGCACACGCACCGCGGCACTGTCGTGGGGAGGAACACGCACCGCGGCACTGTCGTGGGGAGGAACACTTGCGTGTACGATTTAGATGTGGGGAGGCGTAGTTCTCACAAGGGGCCTCTCACGCGTGATTGCATGTGCTGCAATTTAGTGAAATACGTCGTTGGTTCAGTTCAAAGCGCGCTGAGGCCATTTACTAAAGCTCTAAAGACACCCTGCGCTCCACTCCACGGTTCCTTGTGGTGCTCCTGTGCCAGTTGATGCAAGCAGAGTTCCGGTTCAGATGTATGGAGTGAATGTTGCATTTCTGAGGTGCTTAAAAGAAATGCTTGCATGACAGGTAGAGCTGACCACACCATAGTTGAGATATTTCCGATCATTTTCATGCGATCTCGCCCGCACGTTCCACCATCAGCGACGCCACGGGCTGTTGCACGTGCAGCACGTGCACGCAATCCAGAGTCCGCTGTTCGTCCGTCCGTCCGCCCGTGGCCGGTCGTCCATGGCAGGCGCGCGGACCGCCGGCCGCCCGCTGCGAGACCCAGCCGCTGCGAGCGCCGCCCCCTGATCCGATCGATTTGCGGTCTTAACGGGCTCGCTACCTGGCCGACGGCACGCGCCGCTCCCCCACTCCCCCCCCCCCCCCCCCCCGGTCTCCAGCGGTGCCGTGGCTGTGACTGACACCGAGCTGCTCTGGGCGCGTGTCGGGACCGGCTCGCGCTCGAAATAGGTTTTAATTAAAAACGTCGGCTTTTGGTTTTACAACTTCTCAACACTGCGTGATGCATGCAACGAAACGGCGCGTTCGGTTGTGCGTGCATTTCCAGCTTATACACCATCTTACCGTTGGCAATTACTTCCTTCATGAACGGCTTTCAAGGTCTGAATTGTTTTGGTGGGGTTGGTTTGACTGTGCGTCCAAACGCACCGTTCGCATGGAATTAGCGTAACGGTACGCACGTTTGTGCGTGTGTATTTGCGCAGACATTTGCGCAACAAGTTCAAAGGCTTTGGAAGTGCCCAAAGTCACCAATTACAAGTGACCTGGCAGCACACAGCAAATTTTGTGGTGCCTTCCACCTCAGTCAGCGACCAGTCCTTTCTAAGCGGTAGATAGAATCCTCCGTGCCATAAAACGTCCCATGTGAAATGAAGTCTTCAAGTGTCATCCTTACCCCATACTATTGTATTGCTCTCTTTATGCCCGAGGACACAACACATGCTAGTTTTCCCAAGTATTGTCCAGGTTTTCGATGAAGTAACGTTAGTCTTGTGAGATCAGAATTGCCTTACTTGAAGCTTGCCTCGGCACAATCAAGGTGCTTTCGGATTCTTGCCCGTGTTTTGTGCTCCAAAGTAGTTGCTTTGTGACCTTTGATAAGCAGTTTATCTAAAATGAGATTTTGATGCCAGTTGGTGCGAAGCTCGGTATCAAGTAACGCTGTATTTGCTGCCCCTGACCTTTTTAAATTAATTTTGCCCACTTTGGTCTCACGACACCAAGTAAGGGCCAAACCTGCGCTTAATTGGGGCGAACTTGGGCGTTAGCGAAATGTGTAATTCTGCGTGCAGTCTACAGGCGATTGACTGCCTTACGTGTAATATATAGACTGGAATCGTGCACAGGAAATGGGTACATTTAAAAGATACTGTGTGCTGTGACCAGTGCCCGCCTTGCTTGCGCCAGTGGCGTGTTTGTGGTGTGCACTTACGTTGGCAATGCGTGTGCGGATCTTGTTGGAAGCAAAATGATTTGATAGTGTTGCTACCTGTCAAGCCGGAGCGTCCTTATATGAACCATTGTACATTTGGATGCCCGAATTTGTCATTTGATTCGGCCCCGGGTCGAATGGCGAGAAAATAAGTGCGTCATCCTTGTTTCTGAGTCAAGGCTTTTTTAGATGGTTCAGATTAAGGGCCGATTCACTTCAGTTTAATGCAACTCACGAGCCTGATTCTGAATCGAATGGAGCACAAGTGTGCTTGCGAGTGTATGCGCCATAAATCCGATATAAAACAATTGGACATGTTTGACCCAGTTTGACCCCTGATGATCTGACCCCCAACTTCTCCCAGACACGATCAGCAGTGACATCACTGACGCAACGTCGATTGTATTTGTGGAAAAAAAAACATGTCTCTACGACCGACAAGTGAAATGTGATCCAGATTTTGCGCGAAACCGAGCAGACACCACCTTCACAACTGGCTCATGAGTCATGGCTTACTCGGAAAAGTGCTGACAAAGTGGTAGGACGGTCCGAAATGTAATAAATGCAGCCACTGAAAAATCACCGCGCCACATTCAGTGACTGCCAAGTTATTAAGAAAGCCCTCAGCGGTAGGGCCTGTCAGCCCCCCTCCCCCGCCCCCTCATCTGGAAGAGTTAATCCACATACCTCTCAGTGCGAATTTCTTCGCTGCCAATGCTGCGGGGCTCTCAAAGAGCCTGCAAGTCACCATTCAGCTGGGACCTGAAAGCTTTCTAGATCACCGCGGATCGAGGTCTTAAAAGGGTCTGAAAACATCGGCTCGGCGGGAAATTTCAGTAAAAGCTGAAACATGTCTTGGCTTTAGTAGGACGTCTTTGGAGACGTTTATTTATGTTATGTGTGTATGAAATGGACGATTCGCCAGTCTCAATAAGGGAGCAAAAACGGTGTGCTCTGTTGAAGTGGGATGGACTTCTACGGGCTATGTTGGGATGGAGATGGTGTTTCTAGGGCGGGTTGAACTCGATAGTCCACGGTTGTCTGTGGGTGCACCAGTAACGTGGTCAAGCTGCGCGTCCGTGACACTACGGGCTTCGATAACCTGCGCTGCCCAACCTTCCCGTCAGTATGAGGGGCAGCAGACGCCACATAGCCGCAGCCGCTGAGTAGGTTGTTAGGTCCCAAATAACGATGGCGGCTGTGTGTTAGACTCAGGACCTTAGCGGTGGTGGTATACTGGGAAGGATCATGGTGCCGTCTCACGCTGAGGGTCCTAAAAGCTTTCATTGAAAATAGTCACATTCTGGACGCTGTTGAACCTTCCTCCTTCGCCTGCCCCCTCCCCCTCCCCCCTCCCCGGCGCAAATCTGCGTGCGTAAGAGACGAATGCACCGTCGATAACGTACTGATCAATGCCCAAATGTTACCCATCTTTTGCGTCGTGCGCCGTCGATCCCACCACGGCCCATTGGCATTCAGATCGGTGTCTGCCCCGGAGGCGGCCGGCGCTCCGGAGTGGCGCGCTGCCCCAGGATCAGTGTCTGCCCCGGAGGCGGCCGGCGCTCCGGTGTGGCGCGCTGCCCTAGGACCGGTGCCCGCCCCGGAGGCGACCGGCGCTCCGGTGTGGCGCGCTGCCCTAGGATCGGTGCCCGCCCCGGAGGCGGCCGGCGCTCCGGTGTGGCGCGCTGCCCTAGGATCGGTGCCCGCCCCGGAGGCGACCGTCGCTCCGGAGGCGGCTGTCGCTCCGGAGGCGGCCGTGGCTACGGTGTGGCGCGTTCCCCCAGGATCGGTGTCCGCCCCGGAGGCGACCTGCGCTCCGGTGTGGCGTGCTACCCTCGATGCACGCCTGCCTGGCCTATGTCGTCGATACCGTTCGGCGGGGTGTGACGCGCCCGCCAGGGACGGCTCCAGAACGAGCGGCGGGTAAGGGCTCTCGGCACGCTGACATAGGTTAGAGGCAGAGTTCTCTACGGGTGCGATTTGCTTCACGCACTGCACCCGTTACCTATGGGTTTGGGGTCTTGCGTGACCGTTGCATTTTCCCTTCCTGTTTTACTCTCCCATTGGCGTCCCTCCCATTTACATCTTTACAGGAATTAAGCTTTACGTTAGGTAGAAGTTTAGCGCAACGTTTTACCTAGTGCGCTTTTC